GAGCGCGCCACCGCGCAGTCCCGTCTCGAACCGCCGCCGGCGCACCACGCCACCACGGCACTACCACCGCGCACGCGCTGCTTTCCGCAACACGATAACAGTCACGCGGGAAAGCTACCGGCTTACGAAAAGCTCCAAGAGTTTGAATTCGAGCGCAAATTTTTCCGCTACCGCCGGACTTTTTTTATAACTGTGGCAGTGTTTGCAGTGAGATTGTTTTCGTAGTTCGAAGGTTTACGAGCATCAGTGCAGTAATCGGGGCAGATAACATTAACGGTTGGCTCCGCGGTTGAGTGCGGCGACACACGGCGCGCGCGCACCGCTCCGCAACATGACGGCCGCCGGAGACTGCGCGATTCTGCTGCTCTATGTGCTACTCACTGTAAGCTACGACAATTTTACATTTGAATATAGATACCTTCAGGATTGGGACATATACCTACTAGTACGGGATGATGTACTGAAAACTTTTCAGGCAAGATCAGTCCATGTCACTGAAAAGTATCTTAGTAGTTGTGAAATTAAACGTTTATCAAAGGATACAATCAAAATATCTGGGAGCCTAAAATTTTGAAAAACTACAGCTTTCCGTAAGCTTGTTTTGTATGGAAATCAATTCCGCAGGCCTTTCGCCCCAGTTTTGCCCCAAGTCTTGAAGAGATGTCAAATAGAGTGTACAGCTTAGATACAATTTTTTCTCGTACCCTTACTTTATGGGGAGATTTTACCACTTTCTTGGTTCGATCATGCCTGAAAAGTTTTTGCGGCCTTAGATCGTCGCTTGGATCTCTTAAGTAGATACCTACTTGAAGATTCAGCAATCAGCACATAAGGATTACTCACGGAGAAAACACTCCAAAGATGCTTTTAGAATTCCACACATTCTCATCCACCGTTTTTGAATCATTCACAAAAGCAAGCAAAAGACAGTCCCAGCAGGTACTACGAATAAGATTATATTATGAATTTGTACTGTCCCACTGCAGAGCAAAGGCCTCTAAGAATAAGATACTTGTAGATAATTTGCAATAGATCTTGTTGCAGATGCAAACTTAACTTGCCATTAACTCAACCATTTGCTTCCAATTAAGCACCTCCTATTAAAACTTCTGGATTAACATGGGTCTTTATCGTTTCCTCAAACTTATTACTCCATCAATTATTGTCTTAACGATGCATTACCTACAAATCCATCCGTTTAATTAAAGCAATGCATTTGAAAATTAAACAGTTTTGTCTACTATACTAAACATTAAAAAGCCGTTATGTACCAACCAACTAGGTACTATTATGTATGCCGATTGTAAACAGATGTCGGAAGGTTTATGTACAGCTTGACCACGCTAAGTTGAACGATGAAAACAAAAGAGTAGCGATGCAGTTTTCGCGGAGCTAATCCGAAAATCGGTAGTACCAGTTCCATACCTCTTCTACCGATTGTAACACAAATTATTCAAGTTACAAAAAAATAAATAAAAGGAGATGTTTGGCATATAGATTCCATTATCCATGTCATTACACTTATTATTTTGAAAAAAAAAAGGGTATTTTTCAATTGCATTTTCTAATCTGCGGTGTTTTGAAGTGAAATATTAGATGGACTAAATAACATTTTGGATTTAAACAAGCGTATTCTTTGGTGTAAACATGAATCTTCCAAATCTACCGGTTTATTGTGTCAATAAACCGGTACCTACCGATTTACGATTTGGACAACGTTTTTGAAGATTTTTGACATAATCATAAGGCTCTTTTTCCACTACTCCGATCCGTAACCGGATGTCGGACGTAGCTATCCGAAAAATATCGGAATTCCGGTCACCGCTTATCCACCTATCCGGTAAAAAACGGACAGTAAAGTTTCATTATCTCGACGGACTCTGACTCGGACGGACGACATTGTAGAATGTACAATTGTTTTAAAGCATGCATAATTTTTGTACAATATCAATTGTTCGGGAAATTACAGTTTTGATAAAATCCGGACACCCGGATACTTGGAAAAGTGAGTATAGTATTTTAATAGATTTCTAAATCGGATTGGAAATTATCGTGTACCGGATCGGAGTAGTGGAAAAAGAGCCTAAAACTTGAATGTGCGGTAGCGATGGCAAAAAAATAATGAGCCTCTTGAGGGTCTATGAAACTGTAGAAAGTTACATAGATTAATACCACTTTTGAACCCGTATTGTCCAGATGATAAAAGTATGTTTTCGGTCGGAAATTTTATTTAAATTAGAATTCAAAATTCTTCTAATTGCTCATAAAATTTGGAAATGAACCAAACACTTAGTTGAAAGTACAAGGATTTTTCAATCCAAGAAATCCATAACTTTAAGTATATTCCGAATATGTCCAACTTAACCAAACCTTTTTGGTCACAAAATGACTTGACACACATGCATTAAGAAATATAGATAGGGACAGCTATAAGACTTAATCCGAAACAAAAAGTACGGTCAACAGCCGTAACGGATGCCCCATACATTTTGATACTGTCAATACCTATTTTTCAATACGAGCTTTTAAATTGCAATAAAAAAAAATTGGGCATACAATTTTGGAACTTAATGAAATTTTTAAAATTTGAGTATTTTAGAGATGATGTAACATATCTATCGAAGAATTTTAAAAAACCAAGACATTTCGACGAAAGTGTTTGAACAGTGTGTCATGCCAGTGATGACCTACGGTGCCGAGACGTGGTCTCTAACTGTCGGCCTCCTAAATAGACTAGGAGTCACTCAGCGAGCTATGGAGAGAGAGAGCTATGCTCGGTGTTTCCTTACGTGATCGAATCAGAAACGAGGAGATCCGTAAACGAACCAAGGTAACCGACATAGCTAAGAGAGTCAGTAAGCTGAAGTGGCAATGGGCAGGCCACATTGCTCGAAGGACGGATAATCGGTGGAGCAGGAGAGTTCTCGAGTGGAGACCACGTACCGGCAGGCGCAGCGTAGGACGGCCCCCCGCGAGATGGACAGACGATCTGGTCAAGTCCGCGGGGAAATGCTGGATGCAGGCCGCTTCAAATCGGACAAGGTGGAAATATTTGGGGGAGGCCTATGTTCAGCAGTGGACGTCCTATGGCTGATATGATGATGATGATGAGACATTTTGAAAATTGTTAATAAGGTTCAAAATCGCTTGCACCATTTGTTTTTGCTTTACAATCGTTAGTAGAGTCAATAAACATGGTGCAAGCAATTTTCGACCTTATTGACATTTGACAAATTTTCATATAGTATAGATGTAGTAACATATTTAACAAAGAATATCAAAAATCCACGGCATTCTGAAAATTGTCAATAAGGTCGAAAATTGCTTGAACCACTTTTTTTTTTTGCTTTAAAATCAGTAATAGAGTTAAAAAATATGGTGCAAGCAATTTTCGACCTTATTGACATTTGAGAAATTTCAATATTGTAGAGATGTAGGAACAGAAAAATTTCAAAATTTGGGGAATTCGGAGGATTGTCAATAAAGTTGAGAATCGCTTGCATCAATTTATTTGCTTTGAAACCGATATAATGGAGTAAAACAATATGATACACGCAATTTTCAAGTCCTCTATCAATCTTTCAGCGTTAATTTTTTCTCTCCGTAACGTCATAATCCCCTAAAAATGAAACGTTTCCCAACTTTAGAAATTAGAATCTGTGGCACAAAATAGAGAGTTTACAGAAGGTTCACTCGGCCCCATTTCGGATTTTCGCAATTGGCACTTCGAATGTGTTTTTTTTTATTTCTACCTATGTTTTTGGAGAAAGTTGTTAAGTTTCATGGACTGATTCAAACCTTAAAATATTTGCAGTATTTTTTTACATACCGTATTGTTACATGGACGGACATGAATAATAATAATGTTAACCATAGTTACATATATAGTGAACTTTTTTGCTATCCGTACCACATTTTTTGCAGTTGACAATTAGTTTGATGTCCCTGATTGTCTAAATAGCCTGGTGTACCTGTAGGTATGTTGCTTTTTAATCGACTTTATAAAAAGAGGCTGGGCTTTAATTAGTCGGGGATAAAGACGTGTAGAACAATTTGGAATAAAAGTTTTCTATACATGAAACCCCGAAGCACGCACTATTTGGCACTCCCTTGTACTTAGGTACTAAGTCAAAATATGATAGTCAGAATCTACAAAAATCAAAAGAAGTCTAAAGGTCAAAATAAAGACTGAGCGCGGCGGCGTCATAGTGCGCCGTCAACGTGACAGCGTCGTTTATAGTACGGAGGTCGCGCCGCGGCGCGCCACCCGGTCTTTATGGCATCACCATACAAACCAATCATACTTCTCTTTCGGTTTTTATTTTGACTTTAAGTCTATAGAGACAGCACAATTTAACTCGATTCCAAAACTAATTAGTGGACTAATAAAACTTGGTGCTAGATATAGAACTTTCCTTCCCACGGCTTATTTATGCAGCCCTTAAGCTATTAAACCATGTACTACGAGAAGCAATCAAATCAACCTTAAGACAGAGCGAGCAATAAAATGAAGAGCCACCATGGAACATTTTGCGTGACCTGCATTCAGGGATACGTTCAAGGTGTCATCTTTCGTAGCACTTTCGTAGAACTTTTAAACTAGTCAGCTGTCAATGTCATACTTTCGTCGCTCGAAAGGTGTAGGTACGTTCAGCGACATCATAGGTAGGTAGTATAAACACAAATTAAGGAAAGAGCGCCTGGAGCTCCTTTACACATGGCTCGCTCAGCACTAGAGACGATTTTGACGCTTACTGACTTTAACTGTAAATAGGGGAAGTCAAGGTAACAAGGTTGCCACGAACGTCATATTTCTTGGATTCAAATTGGCTCCAAATCATATGAACTTTTTGTGTCAGATTTTGCTGTTTTGATATTCTTCTAATTTGAAGTTTTTGACAGTAGCAATCCTGGCTATCTAACAATTGACAGTTGCGTAAATCCTGTATAGGGTCGAGTGAACTTTCTGTATACTATTTTTGGAAAACTTGCAAATTTTTCACCGCAGGCTGGATTTGAACCAGCGACCTATCTATACTGGCGACGCCTCTATCATCTGGGATACAGCGGCTCACTCCAAGCCCGCGAATTTAGCAAGTGTATCTTGACCACTAACGCGTGGTAGGGCTTCTGTATACTCTCTATTTTGTAGTTTAAAAGAGCGACGAAAGAGCTACGAAGGAGGACAGCATGAACGCACTCCCGCCCAATAGTTGCGAGTTCGGAACAATTCACCAAATTAAGTTTCACGCTTCAGCGATCTGTGTTAAGCGCACTGACGGTTAAGCGCATTTACGCTACTTTCCTCTATTTACCAGATTTCGTACTTTACATTGTTCCGCCGGATTTTCCTGTATCTAGGCCGAGGTGTTCTCAGCGCGACAATTTCTTACTTAGAGTAGGTTCTTATACGCACAACTCAATTTTGCGGTATTTTGCAGGTCCGTTTTACTTCGTTATACGACTGCAAACTTAGCAGTTTAAATAAGTTTTATATAAACATACATACTTATAATAACGGCTTTAGCCCTTACGGGCTAGGCACAGAGCGTTAACAGCTGTAAATAAAATAAGAAGTGGAGTGATGTACTATGTGGAGTTTTATAATGTCGTCTATCTACACATCACAATATGGCACACGACGCATCGCCCAATGACTTTGTCAAGGACTCCTCGTAGGACTCTCGTAGGAGACCCGTAGGACTCTAGGCTAGGGTCTGTCGTAAGCTGTCATTAGCGTGCTGGCTGACACAAACCGCAAAATTATGCGGCACGTGTGTCTTCACGTTAGACATTATGGGAGATCATTTGCAGTAATAAAGGCCCCGGCGCCATTGATCTCTTGCAAATTGCGCACGACCGTTCAATATGCGCCGGCGCCGATAATGGGGTAAAGTTGTCGAAAGCTTCGTAACATGTTCATAAGGCAAACGAATTCACACCTTCGTGGTGTATTAGTGTGGCTCTTGATTTAGAGGACATACCTAGTTTAGAAAAGTACCTATATGTTACTTTGACATAATATATGGGACATAACTTGCAGTACCTAATAGAGACTACGGTGCCATTGATATCTTGCAAAATGCGCTCGGCCGATCAATATGCGCCCGCGGTAAAGTTGTTGAAAGCTTCGTAACATACCTATTCTGTTCATAAGGCACACACGACACGACATTCCTGCGACATATATAAGGTCCTATTAAATTCACTGCAAATATTTTAGGGGCAGGTCAAATAAAATATAACCATGTACTAGCCAAATTTTTAGAGAAATCTACACGCTAGTTTTCGAGAAAATTTCAATTAACTAAAAAAATACAAAACGAAAAAAGTGCACCCTGTTTGTCCTAGAAACTCACACTTCGATGAATTTAAATTACACGCCAAAAAAGAAGTGCTGTGATTGGTTGGTTGTTAGTGTGCGTGCCGTGTAAGTGAATCCTGTCTACGTGGCGGAACGTCAGTTGGGTCAGGCAAAGGGTGTTCACATAATTAATTAAAAAGTTTGTTTGAAAATGAAAAAAAAAAATCTAACGTGTAGATTTTTTTTAAAATGCCGTAGATGTTTTTCTTATACATATTTACGCATGCCCTTAAAATATTTGCAGTGAATTTAATAGGACCTTATATAAAGCACGGCCGCTCGTAATAAGTCCTATTTGACTGCTAATGGGGAAAAGTTGTTCATTAGATTCATTCACCTCTTCATTTGATTTAGACTCGACGTGGATTCGATCACTAAATAAAATTATCATACATAACCACAACCATAACAGCCCCAACAGTCCACTGCTGGATAATTAGTTATCGCACTTCATGCGTTACTAAATCAATCATAACCATGTTCAACACGGTTTGCAGATAAACAAACATACATATGTATGGGTATCTCGTTACACGATGTAAGTACCTACCGCTGTAGAGCCAGACGGGTCTGATTAGCAATCAATAATGATCAATAAAGGAGTCAGCGATCCTCGCAGAAGCAGAGCGATGACTCACTCATCATGCACTGTAAATTGATGCATTGTATTGTACACATTATAGGGTAAAACTTTACTAGTGACCGAAAGCGAAAACTCAGAAGAACAACTGAACTGATAAAAACAACTTTCATAGCTTGGATAAGAACAACCAAGAAGCATAGATCGAAATATGATAAACAATATTTGGACCTCCCTTAAGTACGAAATTGCCGATCAGCTGATTTGAGTTACGATGGGAAGTCTATTTTTTTTTTAGATTTTAACCTATGACTTTGGGGAAAGTTGTTATTACCAGCCGGTTCTGAGTTTCCGCTATCGGTCACTAGTAAAATTTCACCCTGTACACGTGTGGTAGCGGTTAAGAATACTGCCACCCCTAAACTACACAGTGTTTTTAGCGACGTAGAGTTTCTGACTTCGACTGAATATCTGTCGACTATGGTCGACCGTATGATAGCGGTGATACCACCTACAATAGCTTTTCCGAAGAGGGTTGACTTTCAATCATAACCATGTTCAACATGGTTTGCAGATAGGTACACAAACATACATATGTATGGGTATATCGTTACTTGATGTAAGTACCGCTGTAGAGCCAGACAGGTCTGATTAGCAATCAATAATGATCAATAAAGGAGTCAGCGATCCTCGCAGAAGCAGAACGATGATCATTCATCATGCACTGTAAATTGATGCATTGTATGATGATGTATTGTATTGTACACATTATATATGGTGAAATTTTACTACAGACCGAAAGCGAAAACTCAGAAGAACAACTGAACTGACAAGAACAACATTCAGAAGAAAAGAAAATGAAGAAGCATAGGTCGAAATATGATACCTAAACAATATTTGGACCTCCTCCTTAAGTACGAAATTGCCGATCAGCTGATTTGAGTTACTATGGGAAGTCTATATTTTTATATATTTCTACCTAGGTATATTCCTTGTGGAAAGTTGTTCTTTATCACCAGCCGATTCAGAGTATTTGTTATCGGGCACTAGTAAAATGTCATCCTACACCGTGTGGTAGCGGCTAGGGCGCGGAATACTGCCACCCCTAATTTACTCAGTGTTTTTCGTAAAAGACGACGTAGAGTTTCTGACTTCAGCTGAATATCTGTCGACTATGGTCGACCGTATGGTGGCGGTGGGTGATACCACCTACAATAGCATTCCCGAAGAGGGTTGACTTTCAATGCTAATCATGTTCAACATGGTTTGCAGATAAACAAACATTCATATGTATGGGTATATCGTTACACGATGTAAGTACCGCTGTAGAGCCAGACAGGTCTGATTAGCAATCAATAATCAGCAGTAAAGGAGTCAGCGATCCTCGCAGAAGCAGAACGATGATCATTCATCATGCACTGTAAATTGATGCATTGTACAAAGAATAATACCATGTGATAGCGGCTAAGAATACTGCTACCCCTAGTCTACTCAGTGTATTTCGTAAAAGGCGACGTAAAGTTTCTGACTTCGGCTGAATATCTGTCAACTATGGTGGCGATGATACCACCTTTAATAGTATTCCCGAAGGTCAAACCATTTGACATAAACCGTACCTATTTGTATATGAATGAATACCTACCTATGGACGAAATTCGTTTTGTCCCAACGCATGGGTTACGCAAGAATATCGCAGAAACAGACGTTACTTGTGTTTCTAGTGTAAAGCAGGTGTTAGGTTTTGCACAGATGGTCAATAAATGAGTCAGTGATCCTCGCGTAAGCAGAACGATGCTCACTCAACCAACATGCACCGATAACATATCTAAGTAAGTAGTGAGCGTAGTAAATTGATGTACTGACTCTATCTACAGAAAATACGAAGGTTTATAAATTAACCTCCAATACTAATTTGGCTGCCTGATAGAGCATTTTGTATGGGAGGTCCAATTTTCTTCTTCAAATATTGTATTTATTTTGCTATTATGGTAGTTTAGGATGTCCAAAGTGTAGATTTTTTCTTTGGACCATTATAACCGGGACACCCTATATAAGTATGCATCGATAAAGCTTGTAGCGAGCTTTGCAAATTGATACTCTGTAATAGCCTCTTGTCTAGCCACAGAAAATACAAAGGATGTTACCAGAAGTTTATTATCTAAAGAAGAAGAAACTTATCGAACAAATACTTTATTACTATCGTTTTCAATCAAAAATAATCAATAAAGGAGTCACTGATCCCAACAGAAGAAAAACGATGCTCACTTAATATGCACTGATATTGCTTGTAGTGAGCTTTGCAAATTGATGCCCAGTAGGTACTAGTACTAGACTCTAGCCTCAAGAAATACATTGGGTGTAAGTGCAACTGAAAGCCTCAAAATTGCAGGAGAAGTAATTTTGTAAAATTGTTAAATTGATTTTGATTTTTCCCGTGATTGATTAAATTGATGAACAAACACAAAGTAAGTGAGTAAGTACGCAAAATATTTTCAGTTACAGTACAGGTTTTATCCGGCGTAGTAGGTCAATTCTGACTCTAGCTAGATGATTTTACTTGAGAAAAGTGTCAGAAATCAATCAATCAATCAATATTACTTTTACGTATGTAAGACCCTCTATCCTAGCGTGTGCGCACGGCGGACGCGTGCAGCCTGCGCAATGCGCGCGCGCAGCAATCGCGCACGCGTGTTGTACTAGAGCTTGTAAATCGTTAATAGAGATGTTACGGGCTTCGTAATCGTAACCGAAGCTATCGGATATCCGATACAAAACTATACCCGTAGCCATAACCTAAACCGAAATAAAAGCATCGAATAGTTTCGGATGATGAAGGTGCCCTAATAAACCCTGTTATGACTAAAATTATTCTCGAGATATGTCGCGCGCTTCCCTTGACTTATATGCTTGCTTCTGTGGCTTAGTTATAAATAGCATTATTTTACATTTACCTAAACACGTGTGATAAACTCGAAACCGTATCTATTATATTTATTCTTATATATTAGGTTTAGTATTTAAAATTAGGTAGTGGTTGCCGGAAAAGCTTCCCCGCTATTATTTTGGTTCACTCTCCTCTGCCCTAAGGTTGCCTGGAAGAAATTGCTTCTGAGCAATAAGGCCGCCT